AAAATGAAATCAGGTACCAGTTTTTTTATTTTATTATATGATTACCTATAGTTCAAGGTATATTTAGGACATTTTCATTTCTTCGTGGGTGGTTGCATTTTTTCTGCAATACAGTTTTTAAAAAGACCAATTTCTACCAAAAATGACAATTTGTCAAGTATATACGGTATTAAGGTGTTGTCATGGTAACCAAACATTTTTTTGTTGATTTTTTTTTATGTTACTTGTACAAGAACTTATATGGTACAAGGAATTAATGTTCATGTCTACACACCACTGACTTTTTTTAATAATATTATGCATTGAAATAACCATATATTTGATTTTTGCAGGTTCAATCCAAGCGATTTCCATGGCAACAATGATAATGTATTTTTTTATAAAATAATTTTTTTTTTAATTTTCAAACACAGAGAATTGTTTCTTTACTCAAATACATGATACACACAGGTTTTTAGGAAAATCGAAAAAAATTACTTTCCATGAAATTCTCAATCCTTACTGTCAGGCCCTCTAAAGAAACTAAGGTTTCAACGGCCTCAGGCAAAGTCGACCTTAGATGGATGTGGCTCTTTGTAGGGCCTTTTTGGTCATAAAGCTCTTCAACTGGTTCCTTAATATCATTGGCTTTCAAATATTCCAGAAATTTATAACGTGTTGTTTTCATTTTTTTAAGTCAATATCCTTAATTTGAATTTTTTATTTGGTTTTGCCGTGTTCTTAGTCTTGTTACTAGAAAAAGTTGGAACTTACAAAGCGCCATAAACGCATAGGAGGAAAAACAACTGCCTGTCTACGCGACCGATCGTACAGCATCTTATTATCAAAATAAGACTGTAACATGTGTATAGTATATCGTGAGATATAACCATTTTAGTGACCTCGGTTTTTGAATGGTATTCTACCTGTAAACTAACAAGCAAAGAAAGAAAATTTAAAAGTTTTAAGTTCTCTCACTTTGAAAATCTATATCAGTAAACATAACTGCAACGTCGCCCGGATTCCGATCTGGATAAGTCTTTGTATAGAAATATACATCTCCTTCTTTTGCACCACCAGGACCAGTCACACCCGTTATTCCACTATATTCATAATATGGAGCTGGACCCTGAAGAAATATTAATGTTTTAGACAAGAGAAAAACCCCGCCCATGAAAATGATAAAATAAATTTCATGGTAGTAAACTCAACTTTTCACTAAGTTACTCGAAGTGTCTGTTTCATAAATGCAGATACCTAGAAGTAAAATTAGCGTATCGAGTTCTTTAAGAGGAATTATACAGATACAGCAACAAAGATTAGGTAAACATAAAAAATATTTCCAGAATGAGTGATTTGAAAATTGTCAATAAACCATGCATCCGACCATTAATTGGACATTAGCTACGATTTTGACTGTAAATGTGATTTAAGTTGAAAGAAAATATGTTCGGGATTTCAAATATTTCGCGTCAGGCGTTCCAGATGAAAGTGAATCCCAAAAAGTGCTCCGGATGCATATACATTTATTAAGTGTTATTCCAAATGTTATTCCAAATTAATAATATTACTTGTATCTAGTAATTCGCTCTAATTAGTGCGTTTAGTTAAATTTGGTAAAAATATGTGGCTCAGATACTAATTAACTGAACTATATGATTGTCTTGCAAGACATTCAATAGGCCTCAGTTGACTATTCCTAGCACCGTATTCACCGTCCTATGATGTGACATCAGTTGGAAATCAATTGCTCATGGATTGAATGATTGGTGTTTAACGCCACTTGCAGCACTATTGTGCTATTTTTTCGTGGAGGTCAGTTTTTACACCACTCGGTCACCGAAGCCCCTGATTGCTTATGGACTAAGTATGTTAAGCTGGTGTAATGTCACATGAAAAAGTGAGAAAGCGACAGGAAAATGTATTTCTTTTCCGGTTTAGGCACGCAAAACATCATTCTAATATAGGTGAAACGATCGTTTACATTTTTGTCAATGATATAAGATTTAGAAAAATAAAAACATCGATTCCATGCGTGTCTATTTTTATCTACATCTATATTCATATCGGGGTAACATGTCCAAAGCATTTGTTGATAGCTGACCATTCCAAAATACGCAAGAATTGTTGATTTTTTCCATGCATTGTTCATCGAATTCCCTGAAACTTTTGTAAATCTTTTATACGTTTAAGGTTGTTAAAAATTAATTTTAAATTGTAAATCAATTCGGTGGACATAGATTAGGCAGCTAATGCCGCTTTAAAAATTGATGTTGTACTTTGATAAAATGAACGTTTTTCAAAGATAAAAAAAATTATCCCATCAAATAATTCTAATTATATATCTACATGGAGTTATTTTCGTTCAGAGCGATTTCTTTTGAAGAATTAACAATGACGATACCAAGTATCAATGAAATTATTTTGTTTGATAGTTATCGTGTGTTGTTGGCAATTTTGGTTTTACTTTTTATTTTACCATCTTTGATAGGGCTTAGGCAGAAAAATTATTTCCTACTTTTGTTAGACTGAAATATAAAAAATCGTCGTTGACCCACATTTTAACTTTCGAAACAAATAATGTGAAGTTTTGTTAATTTATTGGGCTCTAACTTCACATACATAATTGATCGCTACAATAAAGGGATATTATGTTAGATGAATTTAATAATGCAAAACTGTTCATAACACTTTAAAAATAAGCCAGATTTAACACATTCGTGTGTAGGATTTTGAAAATCTTATTGATTCACACTGTACTTCTGAATATTTTGTAAAAAATTGTTGAAAAATAATCAGCTTTTCCACGATAAAAATGTCATGAAATAAAAGAAAAAAACATAGCATTTCCCTTTATAAACTAAGTAGATACAATAGAATACTTACAAAATGACTTGTATTTTTCATACACCGCAACAATTTATTTGTGTCTTGCTTCATGCAGTTACAGTAATATTTTTATTGTAACTTGATAATGATTTCTAAAGTTTATATATAAATTAATTAGTGAGTTTTATTTCACATAATGCATACGCCGTAGGGCGCATTAAAGCCCGAACGCATTAGAAAAGAATATCCTACTTCAGTTTGGGCGGTAAAATTAGATTGCAAATCCTGCAAATCTTTGCAAAAAATAATATTTTTGACGGTATATAAGTCAGATAATGTAAACTATTTAGATTTTCACGTTATAGATAATGCATATTTTAAACTCATTACAAACTCAATCCCAACTTAGTATTCTTGTACGTGTCTATAAATAAAACAAATCTATCTTATTTTTAGAAATTTACCTGTGATAATATATACGTCACAAAAATACGTCACTTTTTGTGGCGTTGAACCATTCATGTAACGCGCAGTTTATACTTCGTTTGTGGTGTCCTGATGTGCTGTCGTAACTTCATGGGAGGTGTCCGTTGTTATTCTGCGGTTTACATGTTGTAAAGTACTATTATATTATTTCTTTATGTATGTCTCTGTGCTGAGTGTTCTTGCGTTTGTTTGTACTGTATTCCTGTCACATAGTGTTTCCATTTTAGCGGTATTTTTAACATTGCCATATAAGCGGGAGGTTTGGCTAGCCATAAAACATGGTTCAACCCACCATTTTTTTCTTAAAATGTCCTGTACCAAGTCCAGAATATGGCAGTGGTTATCAAATAGTCCGTTTATATGTATGTTGGCGTTTGTTTTTGTTGCAGTTCAGTGTTTCTGATGTTGTTTTCCTCTTATAGTTGATGTGATCCCCTCGGTTTTAGTTTGTAACCCGGATTTGTTTTCGCTTAATCTTTATGACTATTGAACAGCTGTATACTACTGTTGCCTTTATTTAAGGTTATACTTGTCGTTTAACACACTGAGGGGTGTCAGGATTGATCAAATGAAAGACCGACCGTAAGGAGGTCTTTCTTTAGGCAATCCTGATACTCTGAGGTGTGTTATAAGACAAAAAAAACCTTAAAATATGCATTATCTATAACGTATACATCTGAATAGTTTGCATGTAAAGGTTTGATTCATTCAAAAATGGATGCAAGGAAATGACACACGACGGCCAATAAAGCTATTATCAAACAAGGACAAAAACAAAAGGAAAACTGAGAAATTTTATTCACGCGGTGATTTTATATAAGCTGTAACTAGTTTTTCTGATTCTTTCATCTCGTGAGCAAAAGTATTTAACCGACAGCTATAACTGCCTTAGCTAGCGTCTTGTAGTACCAAACACATTTTGACCCTGCTTTCTAAATCATTTTGTTTTATTTGCTTGCTTAAGTTAGTGGTCATCCTTTATGTAACTGATCTGTGCAAGGTTTTTACTGTGCATTATATTTTATCACATCTGGTCTTGGAAATGGAGGGTCTGGATTTAACAGCTCAACAGTTTGTGACTGTACCAAGTCAGAGTCTCGGAACCATGTGTTGTTCGTTGTTGGTTGTCTTTATTTGTTCTCGTTGTTGGTTGTCTTTCTTTGTATCACTTGATGTTTGTCTTTATTTGTACGTCATTTTTATCGATTGAGTAGGTTGTTGGTGTGGTCTATTGTACTGTCTAATGTTTTTAGTGATTCATCTTACCTATGCTATGTATTCCTGAAGAACTAACCCATTTATGATACATAGATTAAATTTTCTTTCCTTTTTTTATGAACCTCTGTAGACGTTTTTGTTTGTTTTTATTCCCCCGCTAGCCTGATCAAATCTTTACTTCGTGTCGTCAGTGACAACAGTGAGTTAGACCTCCAGATGAATGAGAAGACATATTAAGATAAATCATTCGATTTCCAGATAAAGTCATCAAAATCTTGATAAAATAGACAGTAATCTCATCAGCTTGTACTTTGATAATCGTCCCTTACAGCTGCTAGTTTTCCATTATCCGGCTATTATATAATAAACGTATTTGCCTATCTTTAATGAGGAATTATTGATGTGATATTTGATTGTTTTGTCAACAGCAAAGACTTTAATCCATATACATGAACAACATTTAAAACCATACTGATATATTTACTCACTGATTTTTTTTCCCAATTAAATGTATCATCAGTGGATTGAATAAACATACATGTTTGATCAGTCTCTGCAGTACACTCGAATATCGAATACTCTGTAAAACAAAATAATTATATGTATCACGACCGAAAGATGAAACAATTTTAGAGAATATGACAGGATTGTGTATTGTTTTATAATCATAACGCTCTAGCATTGTAGTTAAATTATACCTGACAAAAAGGTCTATTTTTGAAATCGGATCTCGATAATGTAAAGGTAGTAAATAAAGGCAAAGGCAAGACATGTTCAATAGGTTTTTTGAAATGTCACGATGTACAATAGACAAGCATGAGAGTTAGAATGAATGGAATGACATGAATCCGAAACGGAGAAACGGAAAACACCGTTCACATAAATTCAAAGTCACAGTCCATACTCAGCATGATAGTTAGCTTTACGATAAAACGTGGACCTACAATAAAGCTATTATGTAATGAATATAGAAACTAGGATGTGAAAACTATTCATAACAGTGACCGTAAAATTTGGTACGCCAGAGGATCGTTATCAACTGATATATGCCAATTGCTCAGGCAAGAGTCCATAATATGTTATTTCAATTAGAATTTGGTACGTCAGAGGCGTGTTTCGTCAGCATGTGATTTGAATCAACACATTTAGAAGGCCAAATCGTAAATGACGTTGAAGAGCATCCAAAACCGAAAATTCAAAATTTTCATTAAGAAAAAACTTTCTAGCATATTCTATCAAATTACCATTGTGGTATTCATTTTGTTTACCACATTGCGTCGTTTAGTTTCTGTTACAATAAATGTATACTCTGCATCTCTTTTGATTACAATACAAATGAAACGGGTCTTTTTTTAATCGATCTTGTCATCAAAATCTTTTAAGGTGAGAAATATCAGACAGCTGGGAAACTTCGATAAATGACAGTGATTTGTATTTTAGAAACTTCTGCATAATTGAAATTCCTAATTAGTAAATACTACTTATGTTCACCAGAAAGATTCATTGTAAAATAACAGATGTATTTATATTAATTCAGATGTTTGCTTGTTTTCAACGGGTTTGATCATACTAAACGTTATGTTAAATATTTGAAGCTGTACAGGAAAACAACGTGTGTGAGTTTAATGAGATATTTTATAAATAAAATCAAAAGCAACTGTTATATTTAAAAAAGAAATAAGTAACGGAAGTGGTTGCATCAAGAAATGTCTGTTTCCGCTTGAACAAACAGCTACCCTTCATACACAATTCAAATATTTATTTAACATTGTTTTCTATATTTTCATCCTAAAATATGTCCGTTAAAGAAATGTTAAACGAAATATACCTGTTGTATGTAGCTTTTATATTGTAATTAATTATATTTAGTTAGTTTTATTTCAAGGTCAGTAAAATAAATTCTTTCTGTTTCTGTAAATTCAGAAATAATTGCGTGCCTTTATTATTGCGATTTTTCAAAAAATGGACAAGAATGCGAGTTTAATTATTGCGATTTCAGAAAAATCTACATACAGCTCTATGTTTTAGTTATCAAAATGCGAGTTCTTATTATTTCGATACTCATCTAGTCGCATTATTCGCATTAATAAAAACCTCGCAATAATTTCTGAATTTACAGTAAATCAAAACGGTCTATTTGAAATTATGCAACCTGGATAATGAAGCTTAGTATTAGATATATGATTTTTTAATAGTTGTTTTTGGCTTTCAAGTAGCTTTTAGTCACTGCGAGTTCTCTCCGATCTGTACTTTGTGTCTTTTGTGTTTTTGTTAGTTTTTGTGTGTGCTATGTATCGATCTGATGAGTTAAGCCCTATCCAGATGATTTTTACAATTTGTTCTAATGTTGTACTGTTACATCACTGTCCCAGGTTAGGAGGAGGGTTTGGCACCAGCAAACATGTTTAGCCCCGCCACATTCCTTATGTGCCTGTCGCAAGTCAAAAGCCTGTAATTCAGTAAAGCCGTACTGTACTCCCTCAATATCAAATACCTCCAAAAAGAAGTCTCATGAATGAGTAGGGGTGATACAAGAATAGTAAAAGATGTTTAGTAATATAATTGGAAAATCCATCCACATTTCCCATGATTCCAATCGTTTATACCTTGGTTTGTCGTAGGAGTTGTTGTCGTTATGGTTGGAGTAGTTGTTGTAGTAGGCGTAGTTGTTGTCGTTATGGTTGGAGTAGTTGTTGTAGTAGGCGTAGTTGTTGTGGTTGGAGTAGTTGTTGTGGTAGTAGTTGTTGTTTTGGTTGGATCAGGTGTTGCCAGAGGACTTGCTGCAAAATTCACTTACGTTTAAATGAGATTGCAAATGGTATTGATATACATTCGATGAGTTGACACATTACATTGAGAAAAGCATTCGATTTCAGACTTGAGAAAATTGAGAAAAATTTGTTGCCAATACAGTTGTGATTTCATCCAAAGTGTGGGTAACATATATTTTAACACAATTTCCGATTTTGGCAGGCTACAATTTATAGACTGAAATATTTGAAACAAACTGCTGAAAACTTTCAAACAAATTATTATGTCAAATTACCTGCAAAAATCGACCAACCAGAACTAAACTTTCTCATTAACTTAGTAACTTCTTAAGGTACAAATACCAAATATCTAGTTAATTGATTGAAGCTTACCTAACAAATATGGAAACACATATATATTGAAACAATTACCTATGTCAAATGTATAGGAGTATATTAACCTGATAATGACATTACAGGCATGTTATCGATTTTACAAGCATTCTTTTGGCATTTACAATTCTATACTCTTAATCTAGCTTCAAATATATTAAACCTGAGATATATCATACGAGGTGTAATCTCGATACGGTTATTATGCACTTGATTTAGCTCTGTTTGATGTATGGCATTTTTCTCTTAATTTACGTACTCAAGATGAGCTTTAACAATTACAGTTAGCTCTTTTTTCGTATAACCAAGTCTTATTCATACTAACCACAGGTACCAGGAACCAATGATATACCATCAACAGCCATATCTGACATCCAACCAGTTCCTGAGGTTCCTTTAACTATAATCTGTAAGAAACAATAATTACGTAATATGTTTATACAATGGCTGTGGTATCGAGTCTTCAATAACAACAAAGAAGATCAAAAACTCTAAATGATTACAGAAACTACAGAAATATAGAAGCTACTAAAGGAGCTTGAATCGCTCATCTAGCAAGCAATATGCAACATTTAAACCTTTAACAGCATTTGCATATTTTAATCGCTAAATAAGATTGTTACCAGGTTTGATCCTCTTGGAAATCATTTAAACAAATGAGACTCACATTCCTTTAGAGATTCAATTGACAATATCGGCCATACTGATTTTTTTGTATATATATGGTCTTACTGATATTTTTTGCTGTCTAAAGTCTCTCTGTTTCTATCAAAGCTATTAACCATCTGCAAAAGTGGGAAAAATCATCTTTTAAAGGAAATCACTTAGGTTGAGTCCATTGATATTTGTGTTCCTTTAATTTGTTTGCGTAAATCTTGGTTTGCTTATATCATGGGTATTCGGAGGTTCTACCTAGTTAGTCTTTACTTTTATAATCTTAAAAATAGAAGCCACGAAGATGATATTCAAAAAGCCCTATAATGGTAATAATTGCTAAGGAGTCGGTTTTTGGTCATGATAAAGTATTCCTAGATTTTGATTAGCAAATAATTTTGGCTGTTTACGGTTTCTTTAATTGCATTCAAGATACTGTAAATTCAGAAAATCTAACGTCTAATAAGCATTGCAATGTTGAACAATGGACAAAAATGCCAAATTAATTATCTTGATTTAAACAAATTATTTATACAAATGATGCTATAAATCAAGCCTTTTGTATCATAATATACAGTGTAATGTCGATATGTAGTTGTTTCTATCCTTCCTTGTCCGTCGGTGTTTGGTGGATAGTTGTCTCATAGGCAGTCATATACCACATCTCCTTATTTTCCTATTTAGGCATATAAGTATCACATCTTTCAAATTGAAAAAGAAGTAAAATTTTACTTACCTCCAAATCATCTACAGCTGGTATTTCTAATTTTTCTTGTAACCATTCATTGCCCTGATTACCTGTTTGGCTAAACAATATCGTTTCACTACCACTACCATCTGTCATAGAAACCTCTAGGGTCCCCATATGTGCAGCATAATAACTGCGCATATGATACCAGAAAGACAAACATCTCTCGACCTCTATCAATCAAAAAAGACAAAAAGTGCATTGGCAGTAGATTTAATGTAAACGAAATAAAAAGAAAATTCCAATTAATTCTTAAGATTCTTGGAAATAATAATACAAACACAATCAGCTTTAGTACTCATTCTATTCAAACAGTTTCTGATACACCAGTTTCGAACGGATTTCTGATATTTTTGGATTTGTTTAAAGACCTTAACATTAATCGGCGAATCAAATATTAAATATTAAATGAACTTCATTATTCTAAGTTTTCGTTTTTTATAATATAACCTAGAAGGAAGCTGTATTTGTTCATTTTTTGGTAATTAAAGTCTTTTGGCTTTGGGCTTTCCTAATAAGGAAAACAATAAGATGAAAATGCATAGCAAATGTGTTAAAATATTTACGTTTAGTTTTACTCAAAACGGTAAGAGCAACACAAAATTTTTAGACAGCATATATGCTAAAGATTTTTACAATAAGCATACCGTGTTTCTTTTCTCATCAACTTGTTACCTTTTCAGTATAGACCAGACCTCGCACAGAAGATTCTCAATGAGATTGATACAAAGCTAGCATTATCTTTTTTAAATTTATGTTCCGATATATAGGTGATGTTCTCTCACTTAAAAAAGTCTGGTAACTATGTTGATCACATCTATCCAATCTGATTGAAATATAGGATACCACGGATTTGATTAGGTCAGTAGTGATTTCATATATTGACCTACACCTAGAAATTGACAATGGTGATTGATTGAGAACTAAACTTGCAAATCATAGAGATAACTTCAATATTTTCCTTGTGAACAGTTTTATGTAGTAACATTTCTAATGCACCTGTATCAAGAGTTATTTCCTTGTGAACAGTTTTATTTATAGCAACATTTCTACAGCATCTTTATCTGCAGTTATTTTCTTGTTATAAAGTAATATTACAACGATCACCTTTCATTCCCTAAAGCTATTTAACCAAGGTTTTAAAAGTTTCGTCGAAAGTTTGCGAACGCATTCATGATTTGATTAGCCGTTAAATATAGAATATCTGTGTCGCAGATTCCCACGGTTATGTTCAATTTGTCGTAGCGATTCTGTTTTCCTCGCATTAGATCACCAAATATGACTTATTAACGGATTTTTATTTGTCGCAACACGCCGGGTGTTACTTAATGATCTGTAACTCTTTACCGTTGTCCAAGAAGTGTGTTACCCAGGGTTTTTGATAGGCTACTAGTTGTTCCATCGTTAGTGTAAAGGCAGTGTATTGGTCAATGTGTTGTCTGTTTTATTTTTCGTTTTAATGGCAAGTATTTGTTAAATTACATTTTATGAGACTGAGACAAATTATGACAAAAATCAAGTCTTCAACAAACTTATATCAAGTAGTTTCTGTTGATAATATAATCTCCATAACAAAACACAACATTTACCTCCCTTATTATTTTTTGAATTGCAACGAGAATTACCTGACTCCCTAAAATTAATCCAAACTTGCTTTTTATACGCAAGTTTTGGTTTTTAAATTTAGAATCAGTTCACCATAATTTAAGAATCTCTGAAGAAAGAAAAAAACCCACTAAATTTAATAGTCGGATAACACTGCCTGGTAAAAGGTCGTATAAAAAGATCACAAGAGAAATGTCTTCTCTATTTTGATGAAGCATGATTTATAAAAAAAACTTTTTAAAATTGTCCGTTTATAATTTTTGAAATTATAAAGAAATTAAGGTTTCAACGCCGTGGTTGACTTTAGACGGATTTTGTTCTTCAACTGGTTCTTATACATCATTGGCTTTTAAATATTCATGAAATGTATGACGTGTTGTTCATTTTGATAGTCCATATCCTCAATGTGAATTTTTTATCGGTTTTGCCGTGTTCTTAGTTTCTGTTTTAGTTTAAGTTGGAGCTTCCAAAGCGTCATGCACGCATAGTAAAAAGAACTGCCTGTATACGCGTTCGATCTAACAACATCTTATCATCAAAATATGACCGTAATTGGTGTATAGTATATCGTTAGAAATAAACCAGTGACCTCAGTATTTTTACGAAATTCTACCTGTCAGCTAACAAGCAAACACAGAAAACATCAAAGTTTAAAGTTCTCACTTGGAAAATTTATATCAGTAGACATAACTGCAACGTCGCCCGGTCTCCGATCTGGATAAGTCCTTGTATATAAATATACAAATCCTTCTTTTGCACCACCAGGACCAGTCACACCCGTTATTCCACTATATGTATAATATTTAGCTGGACCCTGAAGAAAAGTTGAAAGTTTTTAGACTAGAGAAAAACCCCGCCTGTCAAAGTGATAAAATTAATTTCACGGTAAGAAACTCCACGTTTCACTTAATTACTCGAAGTGTCTGTTTCATAAATGCAATTACTTAAAATTTGTGTATGGAGTTCTTACATTGGAATTATATAGATACATCAACAAAGATTAAGTAAACACAAATAATATTTTTCAGAATGAGTGATTTGAACATTGTCAATGAACCATGCATCCGACGACTAAATGGACATTAGGTACAATTTTGACTGTATAGCATTGTTTAAGTTGAAAGAAAAGTATGTTTTGGTTTTCAAATATTTGACTATGAGCCTTCCAGTTGAAGGTAAATTCCAAAAAGATGCTCCAGATGCATAAACATTTAAATTATAATCCTGGTACCTTTGATAACTAATTATTAAGTGTTACTCTAAATTGTTCAAGGCACAGAATATTATCTAATAATTCGCTCTGATTAGTGCATTTAGTTCAATTTGGTAAAAAAAATGGAGCTCAGATACTAAACTGATATATATATGATTGTCCTGCTAGACATTCAATAGGCCTCGCTTTACTAGTACTAGCACCGTATATATCGACCTATGATGTGACCTCGGTTGGACATCGATTGCTCATTGATTAATAGATTGGTGTTTAGCGTCTATTTCAGCACTATTGTGCTATTTTGTGGCGGTCAGTTTTTATTGTTGGAGGAAGCCGGAGCGCCTGGAGATAACCATCGACCTTCGGTAGGAAAACTGAGGCGGCATTCGAACTCACAACCTTAGTGTTTTTTTTCAATGATATAAGATTTAGAAAAATATAGGAACAAATTGCACATCCTTAACATCGATTCCATTCGTGTCTATGTTATCTATATCTATATCCATATCGGGGTAACATGTTCATCGCATTTCGAAGCTCATATCGATAGCGGACCTTTCCAAAATACGCACGAATTGTTGATATATTCCATGCATTCTTTATCGATTTCCATGAAACTGTTATACGTTTGAGTATGTAAAAAAAATAATTTCAAATTGTGAATCAATTCGGTGGACATGGATTAGGCAGCTAATACCGCTTTGAGGGCATACGATACAGTTACAGGGGGAGGTAACGACGTTGCTAACGTAAAATGTTACTTTTACGACGTCAAACTGTGAAATCGGGAAAAGATGCATTTTCGATTGATTTTTATTAATCGGACTGATTTAACTTGAAAACGAGTTGATGGACCGCTATTTTTAAAAATGACATTTAGCTTGATAATGTATGATTCTTTGTGCCAATTTTTATGAACAAATCACCGATGAAATGTTTTTAAATTAGATAAATATACAGAAAAAAAATTCCGTTCTTTGACTAAAATCATGAACATGTGATAAAATTGAATAATTTCCAAAGAATTGTTACACATTTAAAGCACACTTATGTAAAAAAGATATGTTATATGCTTTTACAAAAATCCGCTTGCGTTTATCTTTTGAAACAAAAAAGATAAGAATGTCCTTCCAAAGGATGGAAATGTTCAAGAAACCGAAATTTCCAGTAAATATCTGAAATTTCGATCCCCATTTATTTATAAAGTAGCACATTAAGGTATATTTTTTATTACATACTTGAATTGACTAGGTGAAAATAGCTTGTATGCAAACATGTGTCAAAAATTCACCGTGGGATCAAAACTGTATCGTATGCCCTTAAAACTGGATGCTGCACTTTAATAAAAATGAACGTAATTCAAAGATTGAAAAAATAATCCCATCAAGTAATTCTAAGTAAACATGTGAATAGTTTGCATGTTAAGGTTTGATTTATTCAAAAATGGTTGCAAGAAAATGGCACATGATTGCCAATAAAGCTATTATCAACCAAAGACCAAAACAAAAAGAAAAACCGAGAAATTTTATTCATGTGGAGACTTCTTGTAAGCTGTAAGAAGTTTTGTCTCTTATTCTTTCATTTTCGTGAGCTATAGTATTAAACCAACAGCTGTAACTGCCTTAGTTAGCTTCTTGTAGTACCAAACACATTTCTATCCTGCTTTCCAAATCATTTTATTTTATGTCCTTGCTCAAGTTAGTGGTCATCCATTTTTGTAACTGATCTGTGCAAGGTTTTGTACTGTGTGTTTCATTTTACCCCATCTGGTCTTGAAAATGGGGGTCTGGATTTAACCGCTCAACTGTGTTTAACTGTACAAAGTCAGGGTTTCTGAACCATGTGTTGTTTGTTGTTGGTAGTCTTTATTTGTACGTCTATTTTATCGATGGAGTAGGTTGTTCTTTGTTGGTGTGGTCTATTGTACTGTCTAATGTTTTAGTGATTCATCTTACCCATTCTATGTATTCCTTAGGAATCGACCCATTTATGAAAATGGATTAAATTTTTTTTCATTTTTTTTATTAATCTCTGTAGACTTTTGTGTTTGGTTTTATTCCCATGCTTGCCTGATAAAATTTTTACTTCGTGTCGTTAGTGACAAGCCATGAGTTAGAACTCCAGTTGAATAAGAAGAAAAAACAAAATAAATCATTCGATATTCGGATAAATTCATCAAAATCTTGATAAAAGATACAGTAATCTTATCAGGTGGTACTATGATAATCGTCCCTAATAGCTGCTAGTTTTCCATTGTCTAGCTATTATGTATTTGCCTATATTTAATGAGGAATTCTTGATATGATGTTTGATTGTCTTGTCAACGGCAAAGACTTAAATCCATATACATGAACAACATTTAAAAACAATACTGATATATTTACTCACTGATCTTTTCCCCCAATTAAAGGTATCATTAGTGGATTGAACAAACATGCACCTTTGATCAATCTCTGCAGTACACTCGAATATTGAATACACTGTAAAGCAAAATAAAAACATATATCACGACCGGATGATGAAATAATTTTTGAGAATATGACAGGATTGTGTATTGTTTTAAAATCATACCGCTGTAGCATTGTATTTTGATTAAACCTGAGAAAAACGTCTATTTTTGAAATCGGATCTTGATAATGTAAAGGTAGGAAAGACATGTTCAATACGTTTCTGAAATGTCACGAAGTGCAATAGACAAGCATGAGAGTTAGAATGAATGGAATGACATGAATCCGAAACGGAGTAATATCTGGTGTATCAAATTAGAAAGCATCATCTGCAGTGCAAGCAACACCGGTCACATGAATTCAAAGTCACAGTCCATATTCAGCATGATAGTTAGCTTTACCACAAAACCGGAAAAATGGCCAGTGGACCTACGACAAAGCTAAGATGTAATGAATTAAGAGACTGAGATTTGTAAAAAGCAAACAAAATACAATGACTATAGGATCTGGTACACCAGAGGCGCATGTCGTCTACATACGACTTAAATAAAGGCAACAGTAGTCTACCGGTGTTCAAAAGTCATAAATCGATTTGGAGAAAACAAATCCGGGTTACAAACCAAAATCGAGGGAAACACATCAACTATAAGAGGAAAACAAAGGAACAACAGGAACACCGAATTGCAACCAAAAAAAAACGCCAACACACAGTTAGAATGCCAAATCCGAAACGACGTTGAAGAGCATCCAAAACCGAAAATTCAGAAAAATGTTCGCCAAATCTCCATCAGGAGAAAACATTTTAGTATATTCTATCAACCGATATATGCAAATTGCCAAGGCAAGGGTCCATAATATGTTATTTTAATTAAAAACAAATATTTAATGATAAAAACAATAGGAAAAACTGCATTCACCCGGTTTATTAAATATCTTAGTTTGCAAGAAAATAGCAAAGATATGTTAAAAAGGGGGAGGGGGTGGGTTAGGTACGAAAGGGAAAATCAAAACTCATAAGTCGAAGAAAAACTGACCAAATCATATTAAAAACAAAAAAAAAACAAAAAAGACAATCAACAGTGTCCAAAGCACTAAAAAAAATACCACTTAAGACTGAACAACACCAAACCTTAAAAAAAGCACATGCTATCAGATGCTCTAGTAGGGTACGTATATGTAACAGACCTTTTTGTATCGGTAGTATACTAAATTGCTAGTTCAAAAGGATATATGAGTTAAAATTTCTCACTCCATTGAGTTGAAAGACATTATAATTAATGCGAATAAAAGGTTTTCTCTGCATGTTTTTCTCTTTGTATCTAGGCTATGAATTAATTCTGTTTCATATGATTACGATATCCAATTGTCTATCGGGTGAACAATTAGTTAATTGGAATACTTGATGTCAGATGTACCAATAATATGTTTTGCATGCTGTAAATAAAGTACCTTTCTTTTGCTTTTGATTGTTGTGTTTTGTTGCTTGATAGATTTCAAATGTGTGTTCTGCTTTGTTTAAATGTATTTTCAAATAAATAATAAAAATGTATTAACAGCATTTAAAAAGGTGACATCTAAGGAAATAATATATCGTATTCGCTGAGAAAAGTGATTCGTATATGATATAAACGCTTTCAAGAAAACAAAATGTTTTTAGATGATTTTATCAAATGAAACATTTATCAATGTTAACGAGCTCGATGCTATCTATTTATAGATTAAAGAAGTCACAGTCGAACCCCTTGCATGAAATTAATATTATTTTTACCATTGTAAACAGGAGCATATAAACTGCAAATATGTTCCATAAAAAAAATTATTAACACGGCCGATAGTCAGAAGTGTGACAAAAAACGGGATTTTTTTCATGTGCGAAATATCGCTAGTATTTGTGTCGCAATTCAAAATATATAATTGCAACCAATGATACGATATCATATTTCTAATTAATTTGATATAATAACACAGTGATACATATTTCGGATTTTTTTTATATACCTGTGGGTTCATTGCAGTTGGTTCCAGAAAATCCCTGGTTGCATGTACATATATAGCTGGCTGAATTAATTGGACTGTAACATGAGCCATAAACACATGGATTATCCTCACATCCTAGAAAGATTAATAACATTTATAAATATTTGTGTTCATTGTAATGTGTGTTAAATACATGACTATTAGATTAATTTTTTATTAAATACTAATTAAAAATGGTCAATTTTAAATATTAATTAAAAAATGGTCTTTATTAGATTATTGTGTCATTGGCAAGTATATCACAATCATACATCTTTGTACTTCCTGTTCACCGACTGTACAAAAATACAAATACATTTTAGCATACACTGGACTACAAGTACTGAATGTCATAGTGTATGCCTTTTTCTTTATAATTCAATGCTATACACATTCACAATCCAAAAAAAAATCAAAAAACAACTTGCTCTTTTCTTCAATCTAATGGTTGTCCGTAAAAAGAGGTAAATAAAAAGCTTCGTGTGATTGGATATCTGTAACTGCAATTGAATTTCTGTAGATTTGTAAAATCAACTCACTAGGGTCATCGATAGTTGGACATATGGAAATGCCTGTACCAAGTCAGGAATATAACAATTGGATTTGAAAGATCTTAAATCAACATACCGATAGAACACGTTTGATAAGCTACTTAACACGTTGACTCGAGACTTTTCAAAGGATACCTGCACTTTAAAGAGTTTACGAATGCGGATATTTGAATGTGTATTGCGATTATTGGATTCTTATACTTCAACGCTAAGCATCAAATTCACACAGCCTATTTTACTCATTTATGGCTTTTTGTCATTATTTTGTGCAAATTCAATTGCAATGAAAAAAAAATATTCAGAAGCTTTAAACTGTCATGCTTACTCATTCTTTCATCGCAATAATATCATGGAATCAAATTTTTTAAATGCGAAGTCGCGAAGGATAAGAATTTGATAAATATTTAATCTGATATTTATCATCTGATAATTTGGCACTTTTTCATACACAAAAAAGTATTAACAAAAATACAAAACTCCGAGTTAATTAAAAAAAAGGGGAAAGTCAATAAAATCTGACAAAATCAAACGCTCGACTATATATACGAACGGAACGAATAGAAAACAACGGCCATATTCCTGACTTGGTACAGGCGTTTTTCGAAGACAGTGGTGGGTAAAACTTTGTTTATAAATTTATATATTGATTGAATTAGATATGTTAAGACAGAGATGTACCTACAACGCAGATAATAAATAACAATACCGTGCAAGTTTTAAGCGTAAAATTTATCAAACCACAAATGCACTGAAAGGTATTCAAGCTTAGCATAGTAAACCGTTGTGTTTTGCAAAGATTACATTTAAGGACAAACGATACAGTTACAGGAGAGGTAATGACGTCGCTAAAGTAAAATACTATTTTTCGCGACGTCAAATTGTAACATATCGAGAAAAGATGCATTTTTCGACTGATTTTTATCAATCAGACTGATTTAACTTGAAAACGAGTTCTTTTTAAAAATGACATTAGGCTTGATAATGTATGAATTTTCATTGTGTCAATTTTATGAACAAATCACCGGTGATTTTTTTTAATTAGATAGATATACAGCCCAAAATGTCGTTTATTGACTAAAATCATGAAAATATGATAAAAATTAATTATTTCCAAAGAGTTGTTATACAAACTCAGAACACACTTATATAAAGAAGATTTTCCAGATGTTGTTTTTACAAAACTCCGCTTGTGTTTATCTTTTGAAACAAAAAAAGTTAAGTATGTCTTTCCATTAGATAGATTTGTCCAAGAAACCGAAATATCCAGTAAATGTTTAAAATATCGACCACACTTATCTCTAAAAGTAGCACATAAAGGTATATTTTTATTACATATTTGAATTGACTAGGTGAACAATAGCTTGTATGCAAACTTTCGTCAAAATTCACCGTGGAATCAAACTGTATCGTATGCCCTTAACAACTTGCATTGGAACATTGTTTAAATTTTGACTATATCGAACTTTGATTTGTTGTAGGAGTGCAAAAACCAAAAAAAAGGGAAAATTGCGGCCACAATCCTACATAGATAAATTGTAGAATAGGTTTAGTAGTCAAAAATTAAGTTACAATTCAAAAATATCACCCTGGTATCTATGATGAGTTTTTTTTAACTGCTTATTTGACTAGAACTTTAATTGCATTGGTATGGAATGAAAATTGACAGAATGGCTTTATATCAAGAAATGTTTTATGTCTTAATCAGATTTATTTCGGACCTACTCATAGCAAATCTACTTTCCTATTTCCACGCATACACATGTAACTTAAAAGTATCATACTGTGTAATAGTTAATATTGAAAAAGATTGCAATGTGACATAATTGGGACTAAATTTGAGCTGAACAATCACAGGGAAAGACGAAAGTGTAAAAACATGAAATAAATAATGAATGAGAGTGCCGTGTTTACGTTGAACAAGCCATAAATCGTTAGTAGACATTTGTAATTGTTGGAACATTGCGAGACATCCTAGAAATAAACTGAACAAAATTTGATGAACTGAGTGCTGAACTTGGAGAAAGACATACTGTTAATTCAATAATTAAACATATTTTGCTCAAAGACAATATATCTACGTAGATTTGTGGCAACAAAATTCTACACCTCCCATTTTTACCCTTTTGTGGTTTTTTTTTTTTATTAAAAACGAAAAAAAATGTAATATATAGAATACCATGAATATTCCTGGATTGATATAGTAACTAAATTCCCCTTTTTATATCGATAATTGGAATATTATAAAGTTAAATAGCAAAGAACACTTTGCACAAGTGTAAAAAATAGAAGACTGAAAGAAATTGATATTATAACACTTCGTTCAAAAAGGTATTTCTGCAATTTCAAACTTATTTTGCCCTTTTAAAAAATTCTTGAAACTGAAAAATGCTTTGTTGTATGGAATATCCATGTTCTATCACAAGGAAAAACTTTTCGCATAGAATTTACAAACATACAGTTCGACGAGATAATCATGTCGAGTCTGTTGAGCAAAAAAATCAAACTCATACAGAGGGCTATGCCACCATGATAGTGTGAGGTTTTATGCGAAGCTCCCCCTTTGATATTTCGAAGGCAAAAACAAACATTTTTATGCCCAACCTAGGGGCATTATGTTTTTCGGTCTGTGAGTCCGTTCGTCCGTCCGTCCGTCCGTTCGTCCGTCTGTCCCGCTTCAGGTTAACGTTTTTGGTCAAGGTAGTTTTTGATGAAGTTGAAGTCCAATCTACTTGAAACTTAATACACATGTTCCCTATGATATCTATGATATGATCTTCCTAATTTTATGCCAAATTAGAGGGTTGAACCCAATTTCACGGTCGACTGAACAAAGAAAATGATAGTGCGAGTGGAGCATCCGTGTACTATGGACACATTCTTGTTTCCCATGCTTTTGTCTTGAATTATACGAAAGGCACCTGTAAACGCCTTTCCTTTATATATATTTTTTGCTCCCGTTAATCAATTATGATTGTCAAAAAACATTCGTGTCCAATTATAGATAAGAATTTTCGTTTGGCACAAATATTAAAAAAAAACCCGTTTTGATATAAAAATAAGAATAATGGTATGATTGCAAATGAGACAGCTTTCCACTAATGACCAAACGAAAAGGAGGTAAACCATTACAGGTTATAACATTACTATTAACATTTTACATAGGCTATGCCTGTTGCCCAATCCAATTCAATTTATTTGAATAAAATACTGTTTAAACTAAACCATTAACAGTAATCTTTAATTTTAGATATTTGTTTTCTTTAGACTTTAAAGGGGCATTAGCTGTCAAATTCATGATCACCGATTTGACTTAAATTCTCATATTTGTCATTTGATTCATATCATAAAATATTCAAATTACAAAAGTTCAAAAGAAACAATTAACAACTCGGTATAAAGTATCAGCATTTAGTGCATATTTTAGGCTAGCCGCCATCTAATTAACCATCGAGATTATGACCAAATAAAAACATAAATATAGATAGACGTGGAGTACCAGTGACATCCAAAATATCATATTAAATGGAGTCAACTTTTGCATATAAACTTAATATTAAGGTGCAAATACCGCTAAGGAAAAGTATGTACTATTAGTTATTAGGTGTGATCAGGGTTGTACGGAACTTTACAGCGTTGTTGCAAATTCATATCCCCCGGGAAGTTTCTTTAAATCATTTTTATACCGGCTAAAACTTTTCGCCGCCATCTTAGCAGACGTAAATATATAAAGTTACTTTCCTTTTACTGACTTGGCAAGCAAAAACAGAGAATTGAAAACAAATTGAATTACTTATTTGTTTAGGTTTTTTTTTTAATTATTAATATACTACACATATTATTGTTAAGGATCATTTAAATTCATGTAAATGTATCACTTTATATTGCTGTGAGTAGTAGATAATTTTTCTTGATCCCTGGTTGCTAACATACTGAGAATTTTTATTAGGCACATATCTTTTAGCAAAAACACATTTGATAATATCAATTTTGATAAGTAAAATTGCACCTTATGACAATACTTTATTTTTTGATTTGAGTAAGGTGTTTATTTTATTTTTGAAATGTCAACTTAAAATTTGTTGCTAAACTTTGTTTTACCCAGTAAAACTTCGCTTGGTCGGTGTGTTATTTTCAAAGGGGCATTTGCATTAGACTGCAAGATTCTAGTTCAATAAGAAAATATTGAAATAAAATCGTTAACTATTTAGCGCTGGTCGAATCTAAAAATATTTGTTTTCTTTATTATCCCTTTTTATGTTAGTCTCAGTATTGAGTTTGTAAAAGGGTTAATCAAACAATAATCATCACACTTTTCAACGACTACGAATTAAGCGTTCACACTTAACCAGTTTATACATCTACAAGCCTCATGGCTATTGATACAATTAAAAATACTGGATAGAACACCATAAATATACTCAGAAGTTTTTATTTTGCAGTCTGTTCAGCTCATCGTCGTAAACAATACTAGTAACAAAGGAATATCGAATGAATACCCGGCTATGTTGGACTTTTTATAGAACTTTATGTACTATGATACACGTTTA